CCCCAAAACCCCAAAACCCCAAAACCCCAAAACCCCTGATTTTTATAAATTATTGAGATGTTTAATGACATACATAACCCTTTTATTCCAAAGAGAAGGTAAGAATTTTGAAGGGTTAAGCATGTTTGTTATTGTGAAAGTATTTAATTCGATGTCAAATACTGATACTTATTTTTCTAAAATGTTGCCAAGTTCGCTGCAATTATTGCTCTATTCTTCCTTTGAAATTTTGAAAGGGTCTCAAGCTTGGATAAATACAAAGCATCAAGAATCTGTGATTTGCCAACTTTTGATTACAAACTTGGTAAGTTCTTTCATCTAAGCCATCCTCTAGACAAGGTAATTCCAAACAAGACAGCCTTGGGTCACAAATCAACAGTAGATTGGTTAAGGAAGAGGCATAAAACTACATGAAGAATTGTCTACCTGAAATCTCAAAAATCAAGGAAGGTTGAGAATCTTTTACAAGAAATGTTCAACCTTGTTGATATTGATAAGTCAGGTAAATTATCATCTTTACATTCAGGAACGATTGACATAGGAGAGCTCTACTCGATATTCAAATTCAACCATTATAATATCTCCAGGAAATCGTTCAACAAAATCTTTAGCAATGTGCCTTTTCAGCAGATGAACTTTGAAGAATTTAAAAGTTTATGAAGTCCAGAAGGAGAAATGAGAGATAAATTCCTAGAGATGATAGAAGAGGCAAAGTCCTCCAGCACTACAAAGTTCTTCCCCTAAAAAATTCGAATACTTGATTAAGCACCTGAAGGACTCTAGTCAGCGATATAGGTTGCTTAACCAGATCAGTGATCCGAAGGTAACAATTCAGCCCGAGAAAGATTGCAATTTATTTAAAGATGTCTTCCGGCTAAACCAATATGATCTGAGTGAGTATCGGTCTAAGAATGCTGATAAGCTTCAAGATATCATTGATAGTAGATCTAAAAGTGTATGTGGAATCCAAATAGACTCTTTATCGAAGCAAAGATTAAAGGAAAGCCAGAGCACACAAAAGACAGTTAGCGATAACAACCAGAAAAGTATCCCCTTAAATAAAATTTTAGAGCTTGAAAAATCACATGAAATGTTTAACCTGAGGGGAGTTTCTCCTTCAAATGATTTATCAAATCTGTTTCCCTGTAAAACGATTAATGGATCTACGACAGAAAATGAGCAGGATATTTCAGGAGCCTTCACCTTGAATAGAACTCAAAACTCCAGCATCCTGGAGTCTTTAGAGTCTCAAAAAGGATTTCCTAGTAAGATTTTATAATGAATTCTTAGAGCTGAAAAATATCAAGTGCATTCTTGACAGGGATAAGATGAAACAATACCAAAAATATATCACAAATTTTGGCCAACAAGAGGATCATGCTTCTTTTAAGATCAGCAAGCTCCTAAATGCCTCTGATTGAAAAGGTAATGGTAATATCCTCAGGCATAAAAGAAGTATCAATTTTGGGCAAATGCAGCATAACAATATTATGAATTTTTCACGAAAACAAATACCTCCTAATATCGAGATTCACAAGAGATTTGGTAAGTATGCTAACTTAAGTCTCTAGCGACGAAGAGAAGTAGTTGTGATGATCATTTTACTCGCTTCAACAGCTCTAAGTTTGCAGACTACTCCAGAGGGACCAGCAAGAGAAAGCCCTAGCCTAGATATCTAGAAATATTTCAATAGGTGCGCCACTGGTAGGGGTTTTGGGGTTTTGGGGTTTTGGGGTTTTGGGG